ATCCATCAAAACTAATTCCGTATTGAGAACCCGTTAACGATTTTGTCGTTATCAACATGGCTCTTTTTCCCTAAGACCAAATATTCAACCCAGATGTGAACTCATTACAACATTTACTTTGTTTTATCACTACTGAAACTTTAGTTGGTTAATTTTTGTCATTAAATGGAGTCTACGAGGTATGAGAAAATGGGCCATTTAGAGTACGGTAAGTCTCAGGAGTTCTTTGGGAAATTCATACCTTGACCACACATCAACGATACCATACTTCCAACACGCAAATCTTCCGTGAATTTGCTCCACACCTTCCTCTTAATATTTAGTCATCAAAGACCTTGAGCTCAAACCTGATGCTTTGAGGAACGAACAAAACTAAATAGAGTTTATTTCTAATTGCAATTCTTAAGGCTGTTATCTATAAGGGTGCTGAGATACAAGCGAAACTGGTAGCCTAAGTTAGGTTTCGAACCTGCGATTACTCTTTCCGGAGGCTCACATCCTTTAACCGAGACACTTACTTTGCCAGCTTTTTATTCTAACTGTGCTATCAGCAACCACCCATTAACATAAAGGACCTTGGGAGAGAAATCTACATAAAATCTAGCTTAGCTGAAGCAACCATCAAGATCACAACGTTTAACTTTCGTTCACTGCCTATTCTTTTTTTATGGCATGGCCAATCCTGTTGACAGGTAACTGCTGTGAGCACCGCTAGAGTTAAAAACTGACCAAGAAGGAGGCAAAACAAGGGCTTCGATTGGTTTGGTGGATGGCATGGTTGTATTTCTCATAATGTTCGGTCGTGAAAAAAGAGTATGCAGTAAATGGGAACTTAGACAAGGGCAACCGTATTCGACCTCAATATAATTCCAGTTTACTACACTCGTTAAATATGAAACAGTTTGTTCCATTTGTTCAAAGTGTTAAAGACTGAACGCAGCTCGCAGGTGTTCATGGAAAGAATTCATTACTCAGCGCAGCTCGTTTTCTTAGAGTATTGTCGACTCGGGCAGCCGATTGTGTGGCTCGTGAAAGGCGGCCGCGCTCATGCCACCGCCTCCCTCGAATGTTGCCGAGCTTCCCGAATAGCACGTTCGTTCACTTTCTCGACGCTAGAGAACCATGTACAGCATTGTATTCACTATCTTACCCATTAAGCGCCTTTTTTCTGCGAAAGTTCATGAATCTAATGAGAGCATTCGGTTGCCCGTTCACTAAAGAAGTGTCATTTCAGAGATAGCTATCGTAGGTAGCAGCAACCAGTGTGTCGCACTCGTCCTCACCTATCGAGTTCGATGAACTTTTGTCCCCTCTTGGATACGAGACATTTTCATCAAATTCTTTTTCACTGGCGATGTCACCTCTTCTCTTGACAGTGCACACGACATTTCACTGGTAGTCTTTCAGCACCAAAGTATCACATCATTTGTTGTAGGACATCCGGAAGGAAATTTTCTTCACCAGAAACAAAACAATCAGATTGTTCGTTTTCTATTCTTTTCACTTTTCTTACAATAATTTAGTCGAAAGCACTGTTTATGATGTCTATTTCATACGCTTCCTGTGAATTGCCAAATTCCCAAGGTAATAAGAAGCCCATGCCTGTTTTACTGGATTTATAACTCTAAAAACATCTCTTTAGAATAAGTCTCCTTCTGGGACCTTATGGTCGGTGATTCGATCTTTCACGACTAAGCCCTTAGCGACTAGGCGGCGCTACGCATTGCTCTTTGAGGACTTTTCAACTACGAACGTGGTCGGACGCTGCTTGTCGTTTTGACCCTTCTGACCTTTGCGCGGTTCATGAGAGATCGAATCGAACAGGGCGGCATTATGTAATAGCAGTGCATGAGCGTTGCATCAAGTGTTGTCTAAACACTACGACGGCGCCAAACCCCTTGACCACCCCGTCGGCGACTCCGTCCGAGTGAGTGTCACACTCTCTTCAAACTCACCGCGCACCTCACACATTTGCTTCCAGGGCCCATGAATTCCTCTTACTTAGAAAGCTCTTCTTGGTCGGTCTAAAACTGTTAACCAAAATTTAAGCATTTAATTAAGAACTCATTTCTATTCCGTAGCTATTCTCTGCACGCGATCATTTTATTCCTACTTTTATGTTTTATACCAGTACTTTGTTTACTACGGAAGAATGAAATACTTTGTATAAGTAGAAGCGCAGAGCATATTCCTACGTTGATTATTCAGATAACTATTATTTTCTTGCTGTTTTTTTTATTTTTGCTCTTATTTCTAACTCTTGCTTTAACTATTCTGCCACCTAAACAGACAAATCAAATCAACAAGCAGACGGCAAACAGATCCAGCCGTAAGAAAGTATTCTAGTTTTGGTCCTTGATTTGCCGCTCTCTCCCCTCATACTTATATCTTTTACTTGTTCCACTTCTTTTTGTGTTACGGAAAATATTTGATTTCTCTTGACTAATGGTATCCTACAGCAATTTAGCCCTGGAAACATAAAGTTTGGAAAGGAATTCTACTACGTTTAGTAGTAAATAAATTGAAAATAGAGAAATAACTTATACGAAGAATTTTGGGCCCACTACTACAGTATGTTACTGAAAAAATACTATACGTTGTTTTGCCTTTGCTGACCTTCCGCCTAAACTAATCCTTTTTTGCACACACGGCTGATTTGGCGATATCCTACAGAGTTACCGCGTGGTTAATCTCTTTCTCCATCGCTAGTCGCCCATCCGTTGTCGGGCGGCTGGAAGACTCTCTTCCAGACGTCTTTGATAGGATAGTAAGTAAGACTGTTTACACAACGCTCTTTACTTACTTTGGAATAGGGAATAGTAAGGAATTGCTGCCGAGGTCACGAACCCTCGCGACCATGTCCACGCCACAAACACTCGGCATCTGTGGCAACGGCTGTGGCCCTCAATTCCGCCGTTGCTGAGATCGCAATTTCCCTTTTTGGAAGACACAACAGCTGTTCTCAGCTCTGGATTTGGGATTAACTGTGATCGCTGTCGAATAGAACGAAAAATTTTATACTACAATACAAGGAAGCATACGACTTTATTATGTAATATTTTCTACTCAACGTTGTCGAAAAATATTGAATTTTTTTTGATGGTTTGTAGGCCCAGAACTATCTGTCCCTGTTATGATGTTCTAGTCTAGAGAAGTTTAATATTTGTTGAACCAAGTCGTTATGTAGAAGGATTATTTTGTACTTATTTGTTAAAATCATTTCAAATTTTCTGCTGTTAAACTGCCTTCTGTTAATTTTTGGACTAACTGCTATAATTGCTGCCTTCACAGGAATAGCCGGTATCCAGGAAGAACCCTAGTTGCAAGGCCGCAAACTTTCAACTATCCTTAGACGTAGTTGAATGCCACTGATCTTGCTATCCCAACGGAAACTGCACTCGTTCAGTGCTTATGGTACCAGTAAGGAAAAAGGAAAGCGAATCCTCAAACTGTAGCTGTCTAAAATCGAGCCGGGAGGCCTGTATCGACGACGGTTGCAAAGAAACGAGAGAAAGAAGGTGTCCATAAGACATCTGAGAACTGACCATCTAAGTCTTTTTCGTTGTTCCAACATTTATCGTTGCAGTCGTTCTCGTGGAGCTATTCAAGTGCTTGCGTTCTCTAACTCTACAGCTCGAGGCAGCACTTTAATCATTCTCAAGCATTTCATTGATGTTGAGTAAAAAGTACTGGTGCAGCTGTAGGGTTTTAGGAACTCTTTTCTACGGCAGAAATTACATGAGATTCTGATTGCTTTACCAACAATCGCAGCAGGCAAAGGACATTACGTTGTACTACAGTAGATATCACATTTCAGTGTTTAACATTATGGTAAAATGGGATTTACTATTGTTATAATGAAAACAAGTTACATGGGAATCCAGTTCACTTGGAGAATCTGTTACTTCTCTTTCATCTGCTTCAGTCCAGATTTTTTGGAGACTTTAAATTTATGCTCACTTCGCAATTCTGCTAGGGCTTGTGGAAAAACAAACAATGGAATCTTCTAGACGGTTTTTTTGAATGCTTTTAATGCGCAGAATGGTATAGCAAGTACGAGGTGCAGCTCTGTGAGACCATCGTGGCCTTCTCGTCTGCTCTGTAGTTGGACGATGATGTTTGCCGGTCACACGACCCTCTGATAGAGCGATGATTATTAAGTGTTTAATTGACTTTGTATGCAAATTCGGCAGTGAAAGTGACGAGCCAAGGACCCGGCCGTGTCCACCCGGCCCGTTGAAATCCATAGTTTCATTTCGCCGTAAATCAACTCCTCATTCATTCATTACAAGTACCATTCATAAGATCCCATTGTTTGTTGTCTTTGTTATTTTCCCAGGCAATTTTACTGATTCTTGTTCGGAAAAGCGTAATTATAGGGATATGAGGTATCCGTGAATTTGGAATAGCCATTGTTTACAGGGATCTTATTAGTTTAATACCCATTTTATCAATTCCTAGCCAGTTTTCTCATTGGACTTCCTATAAAGTAAGAAATTGCTAACTTTTTATTTGCTGCCTATTACAATATTTCAAGACAAGGTATTATGTGTGATGCAACTACAATCATGCTGAGATATTTGCAAAACCCCGGGCCACAGGTGTTTGTGGTGGGAAACGAACGCACTATTACCCTTTGCGGGGGTAAAGCGTTCACCACCACACCATGCGGGTCCTTCGTTTCGCCTGTCTCTAAGCTAGTTTTCTCGATCTGTACCATTAGCAATCACTTGTAAAAAATTGTATTAATTGCTGGTAAATGTTTCGATGTCTAGCTTAGGTTTTTTACTTTTTTCATACGTAAATGGAAGTTCTCGACCACTTATGGGTGAATTCCATAGTTTGTAAGCCTTAAAAATTAATCCTAGTTTCACTAACGGATCATCTTATTAGTTCTTTTCTGTGTCGTTTTACATTCAAATTACAGAAGTCCGTTAGCGGCCAGTATTGCTCCAAATTCCGCAAACCACTTTCTATTGGATGATTTTCGCTTGAAGAGAATGCAAATAATCTTAACTCTCTATCTTGTCACATGGACATCAACGAAAGTCATTGACGATTTACCACATTGCTCTCGGAGTACGGTAATGGAGGGTGAGGTGAGGAAATCATCGATGTCTTTCACCTTTTAATCTCGAGTTTTCTCGAAATAAGTAGAATATGAGTTTAACCAATTGCAGATCCGAGAATATGATACTATGGGAAGGCCAAAAATCTACAGTTCTGTGCAACTTTCCATGGCACTTCACGAATTGGCCTGCATGACCATTAAGGTTTATTCGAATTATATTTCAGTTTATTTCTTCTTAACTAGATTTGTCTTATAATTCCTACCAGGTGCAATCTATCCCGGGTTTTCTACATGGGCCCGCCAGTCAATTGCAGTTATTTCAAAATGACTTTACTCAGATATTTCTTAGTTAATTTATTCGCGTAGCCTGGTATGTCATAGTAATCTTCCTGAACAGCACAGTAAGCAGCAATTGAGGCAAAAAGCAGAAAGAGTTCGAATTCCAAGGAATCAGATGCATGGAGAAAGTGGAGGAACATACGGTTTTATTCCATTCGTTCGAAACAGGGTCTATTCTAAGAAGAACGTGTGATGAGAGTTGAGCGAGTTGTTAAAATGAAACGAACTGAGGAAGAAGACGAAGAACGTGGGGTCCATTTCGATTCAAAGAAGCAGACGTTTATTCATTATCTGGTCCAATCCAAACCCTTAGTGCCACATTTGCGCTGCACTCAAATTTCACCTTCTCAGGTGTCGTTGTTAGTTGTCTGGTAGTATTAACTCATTCGAAATCGCTAAATCGGTTTCACTAAATTTATTTAATAAGGTTTCAACGGGTTTTTCACTTTCCGTGGCTTTTAATTGAACTTCTGGTAAAGTGCGTCATTTGTTGGCAAAAGTGTTCACCGTTGCAGTGTAGTGGATAAGATTGTCACTTGCGTAGGAAAATAGATAAATTCATTCCTAGATTCTTTAAATTCCTTCAGATCACTTTTTTCACAATGTTATTGTTCTCCCGAGAAGTATTGCTGGTGATGAAGAGATGAGAATCCGATGAGATAATTTAAAAGAACAAAATTGGCGCAGTGTAATCCGAAGTGGACACACTTGATGAAGAGTGCCAAACGAGGTGAAAATGAGAGAAGTTAGGCGTGTTCTTTTGGGCTTAGGTCCTAAATGGTGCATGTATTCAACATATTTAGCCAAATTAGGGAATATCATAAAGCTTCAAGGGCGATGTGCAGAATGAAAGTCACAGTTTTTATTTCTTCGTTTTCAAATGTGAGCTACGAATCTTGCTCCTTTCCACTTAGTGATTTAAGAAACATTCTGTGGATCTTCCTAGAGCAGACGGAAAAATGAAAATCGCTCCATTTTTTTCATTTGAGCCGTTTTTCAAATCTACTGTGCGGATCCCAGCACCTCTCATATTCGATTTGTTTCTTCGCATCCACCATGCACGAAGAACTTCCAAGTTTTTATGCGTGGCTTTGGTTGCTGCTTGAGGATTTTTATTTTATCTTTAATATGGCAGAACGCTGGTGGAGACGATTCACCCTGGATTGCTGAGATAGTCGAGCTAGAGCGTTCGCCTTTGAATTGCAGAGAGTGATTTTTTCCCGGACATGGCCTGTAACAATTTCCCGACTCCTGGGGTGATGACAGGCTGGGTGATTCCGGAGTGGGATCGAACCGACACCATTGTCTTAATGATTGACGCCATTACCACTAAGTTATCCGCTCCTTATCGCTCCAATATCCGTGTTCTATTTAGTAAATATCGTAACATAGTTTTTCGCATTGAATCTTACTACTTCCTATACGTCAAACTTGCAAACTAGTTGTTCTTAGAAAATACAACAAAAAATAACTGCAGATATTGAATAAGAGAATTTCTCTCCGTAGTTTGAGTTTTGAGTTTTGAGCGCCAATAATTCATTCATGGAATCAGCAAGGTTCACGTGCAGCGTGATGGTTGGAGGTGTACTGCAGTAAACACTTGAATGATCGATGGATCGATCCCACGGCACATTCCTATTAAACCTTCCTTTATTCTAGAATCGAAAATTTTGCTGCAAGACTTCTCTGGGTAGATCAGAACACTTGATATAACTTGATATAACGGTAGGCCAGATATGCATACGCTCACCTCTACTAGGCTTGTTGATGTGAAATCCATGCTACATTCCTCAGACGTGGAGAAGCGTAGATCAATTTATCGTCTATTTTATGACACATAAAGAACCACATAAACGGAATATTGCTAGATTGGAAACAAATTACGAGGAAATGATACCACTATTACGTCACAAGATTTACACTTACTTATGTGAAGGATTTCTAGATGTTCTTTTCCAGTTGCACGCACGAGCTCTTCAATTGATTCCGCATGTTAGAGGGATACAAAGAGTATCACGGTTTTTATACAACGGTGTGTTTATGCACTGCTCACTGCAACCAAGAAGCCACAGAGACCTTGCCTTCTTCTGCTTCAGAATAGGTTTACTGTTGCTTGAGCTTTCACAGTTATTGAGACAAATCCTCTGCTGCGCACCGCAGCTCAGCGCCCAGAACACCCTTCAGTCACTTTGAGCACCTAAACCATTAGAGGGAAGTTACAATATACTTGTTATATTAGTGAAAACTCCAAGAATACTTTGTGGTTTAAAAATAAAAGGCATGTGGAGATTACTTAATGCTCCAGAAAAGTTCTGGAAATATCGCGTCGCTTAAACTCTGTTTTTGAGGTAAACGACAGCGAGTCGTCCATACTTCATACGTTGGAATTCCTTCGGCTGGAACAACATCATCCGGTTTCTGGTAGGTAACTAAGTTATTAAAAGTCTGTTAGGAAGGTATACAAACATTACACAACGATGTGAAACACGGCCAAAACGATGCTGAAGTGTCCGTAAAACTTGAACTCCGAGCTAGATCGAACCACGATTCCCTTTTCGGGGTAGAACAGTAGCCGAGAGAAACGCACAGCAAGGGCCTCCGTAGCGCAGTGTGTAATGCGCTGTGCCACCGAAAAGGAAATCGTGGTTCGATCTGGTCCGTGGTTCATGTTTTGCGAATATCTCAGCATCGTTGTGGTTGTATTTCACAACATACGCTGCTGTGAAAAATTATAGTAGGCAGCAAACAAAAGGTTGACATTACGCAATGGATTTCCACTTCGCTTTGCTAACTCTGCAATTATAAAGCATTACTGGAGTATTTAACTAACAAATTGAAAATCACCCCTCGCTTTGTTATTTTACAATGGAACAATCTTTTACTGCATAGCTTCCTTCCTATTAATTTTTCACGGAAAGGAACGATGTGAGATACAATTACACTGTTGCTGAATCTGAATATGCTCCAATTAATTACTGTAATAGCAGAAGTTGACGCCTCCTTTCATAGGAATTTACCAATTCGGGATTCCAAAAATCACGTCGTCCTGCATTTGCGACTGTGCTGGAGGTGATGCGCCTTGCAAAATGGACGAGTACAACTATCGGTGAGAACCGTCTATATAATCGACACCAGAAGCACTTTCCTTCAACGGCTTCCTTCAGGAATTGCACCTTGGGAGCGCTGTGCTATCGTACGTACCATCCTGTGCAGTCAAACGTTGGCTGCATAGGAGAGCAGAAGAGCGAAGCGTGTTGTCAGCTGCGCATTGAACCCTTCAAGGATTGGATATTCACCGCCATTAAAATAAATCAACCTGCTACTGTGCTCGTATTCAGGTAGTTAACGAAATGCCTATTCTATAGTGGGAAATATAATAAAAATTTTACATATAAGAAAGGTCAAAGTAGAAAAATATTTGCGCATATAAAGCCATTCCTTCTACGCTCGAAAAAAAATAGCACTTCACATAGGTGAAAAGCTCCTATTTGAGTACTCGTATTGCTCTCCTCCATAAATAGTGCACCTCAGTGCAATTGTCATTTGGCAATTATTGCATCGCCTTGCCGAGGTTATTCTTTTAAAGACATGGTCGTACCAAGCAGTTTCCATATCTCTATTGCAAGACGTTTTAGTCGAGTTTGAAGTTCAAAGCATACTTTTTGCAAAATTTCTTTTTGTGTGTGAGGGTGAGAGAAGAGGTTGTGAACAAGTAGGTTTTTACTACTTGTCTTTCGCCATCATTTCGTAATGTAGCCGTTTTCGAACAGGTTAATTTGAACATTCAGAAAGGGATGTCAGTTTTCTTTCGGTTTTTTCCGACTAAATCCATTGTATTCTGACTGGTTCATAGAATAACTCAAAACGCTTGCCCAATTCTTCTTGTGTTGAGCGAACGCCAAAGCAACCATCTATATATCTACAGACCACACCACGCGGGTCCTTCACTTCGCCTGTCTCTCAATTGAGACATCAAGTTCTATCGATCTTTTGCCATCAGCAATCACCCGTCATCGGGATTGATCCGGGAGGCCCAAATCGGCAACGAACCCAGTTAAACTGAGGCCGCAGTTATAATCACAATTTTAGCTTATTATTTACTGCCTACTCTTTTTAACGGCAGGGTATACATTGTGAAATATAACTTCAGTGATGCTGAGATATTTGCAAAACTCCGGACCGCAAGTGTATGCGGTGGGGAACGAACGCACTATTGTTCTTTCCGGACAGGTGAAACGAAGGACCTGTGTGGTGAGGTGGTGAACGCGCTACTCCAAATACTCCTCTAGAACTGCATAGGACACAAAAACATAACGGGCAATGCTTTGAAGTAGAAAGTACTATCCTCACACAGGAATCGAAAACGCCACCGCGCAAAACACTCGAAGCATTCTGGATAAATTCCGGGAATCCGATAATGAAGCGTGGGGGAAAATGCCTCGTTATCACTCGTAATTTCACACAGTATTTAAAACATATTTTAATGTGAGGGGCACATTACATTTCCATGTGAATCCACATGAACTCTGTACGGTTGGTCTCCGCGTGACATAATCAGTGGAAGACTCATAGAAAGCAGTGAGTGTGCGAAGGGCCAACTTTGTTTCCAATGTGATTGAACTCTTCGCTTGGCATCTTCTCTGTATGGTTGTGGAAAAGCTTGCCTGGGTAGATTGCGGTTAACCTTAACTTTCCAGGCTCTGAGGAAGGTGAAATTCATCGAAACGCCGGCTTGTTTATAAATGAAAAGTAAAGTAACAACTTTGTCTTTGCTCATCAACGAAACACTTGATTACTTGATTATAGTTTTACTATTTGCCACCGGCTTTTATCATCCCATAGTCGGCTCGTCTTCCTTTACTTTTAGACGTTCACTGTCTGATTACGGAGATCCGATATGTTAACTACACTGCCTACAACTTAGAGTCTTACCCAAGATTTTTGACATGTGCAGTAAGAAAATCATAGTGAAAACCTGGCCCGATACATCGGGGAAGAAATAGTGCCGCAGTAGCGAGAATAACCTCGGTTAACCATCAGTTAGCTTAACATACCCGAGCAGTAGCTGGTTTTCATTACTTGTTGAATTTCCTCTCCAAGTCGTTTACCGTGTCTACTGGATGTCCTTGGTAAATATAAGACTTGATCTTTGTTAAAGCTATGCACAACAATTCGTAATCGTGTCGCCTGGTTTATTTCGTGGATAACTTCGATCAAGCTTCTTGGCAATCTCATCCTTTTTACCGCATGGACGAATTGTTTTGGTGAGATTTTTACTTCATTGGTTTCTTCAAAAAAGATGATGGCCAGCATATAAGTACCTGGTAAGGGTTAAATCAGTGCGCTTTTTTTAACACTGGCGACTTACTGCATTGTGGCTGCGACAAAACTAATTGGACGTTGTCATGTCTCAAATCGACTTCCAAAACAACGATGGAAGCAGTAAAAGATATGTGGTATTCGTGGCAACTCTTCATTCCTTGTTACTCCCGTCCTCGTAAGTCCTTATGATTTGTTGGATATAGTGCTTCAAGCTCGCAGCAACGATCCGGACTTTATAGCGAAGATTTCGTACATGTTTATCGTATTTCGTTATGATTCAACCATGATGGATTGCATGAGGTATGGGAAGGAAACTCCACGATTCCTATTCTATTTCACTATGAATGCACAGTATTAGTCTTTGCTTCAACAGGATCGACAACACTGTACTGAAGTCGAAGACGCCTACGTTAAATTGCATCTTGGCGTAGTAGTGTCATTTCTGGTATTCTCGTTGTACATTATTCTTTGTGCATCTTTGCATAGAGGAAGTTGTGTTTGCATTCCTTACAGAATGATACTACAGCGAAGTATCAAGTAGACAAACCTTAGATTTATGAAGCTATGGTCAATCAATGTATACTCAGTAACATGTGCAATGAAGATTTTCCTACTACAGAGAGTGACTAGTTTCCGTAGAAGAAGCTCTGTGTAGAGACGCCCACCAAAGTAGACCTCACTCCATTTTTAAGACCTGTGCCATCCACTCAATGAAATGTGGTAGAATAATGTGAAATTTTATTATCGGTCTGAGTTATACGAGGAAAACTTTCGTCATTTTTCTAAACAGCTTGGGGAAAAAGTGTGTTTCGTTACCGCAGGCATGCTCTCGGATTCAACAATCAGTGGAATGAGAAAAGAAATGTATTCTAGATTTTAGGTATAACATTTATGACCGTTTTAACAAGAGATGGAGAAAAGCTTCGGAAGAAGTCGTAGAAGTACCGCTGAATCGAGGCATATCAAAATTCGACTTCAACAATCGACATAAGATAGAGATGGTAGTATCTGGAAGCCGACCCAATCGAGAACTCCAACCGGGAATGTATTTTGTTAGAGAAGGTGATAATCCACAGTGGGTCCTTACATAAAGACAGTTACTGAAAAAGTATTACAGGAACGCATGAGTTGAGAGGATTTGTGCCGATCAACGAAATTGGCGAAAGCAGTTTGGAGAAATTGGGTTGGATGAGGTTTTCAGACGGAAAGTGGGATATCAGAAATGGCTTGGTGAAAATCAAACAGGCTCATGTAAGTGTTGTTCATCGGTGTCATTGTTGTTCCGAAAGGAATGGAGAGCAGAGAAAGAACATGAAGTACCTTACTCCTTTTTTAGCAAAAGTATAATTTCGAAAAATCAGAGGGGCGGCGCAGTGATAGTGATGCCATTGTCCAACAAGCCTCCCATCTTTCCAGAGGTGGTTCCCATCTTGTCTGGTATTAACCCAGTCCTTACAAACCACTTGGGGCGCCTCACCACCACTGTCCCAGGACTTCTAATGACGTTCATAGGGAAGATAAAAATGGTGAGGCAGCAGACGAACCCACATGCAAATTTTCAAAAACCTTCATGGATGGTGGATGCGAACAAAAGAAGCAAGAAGCGCCAGTATGCGCACAATATGTGATAGCGGACCATGTAACAAAAATAATCTTACAGAGCGGTATAGAAGTTATATTGCGATTCACTTACGAGGAACACGGATCACTGCTATCTTCTCATCAATCAGCGATCACATTTTTTGACAAAATCCTTTAACTGTTATAGAAAGCAAATAAACAAATGAAGTAACAAACTTCTTTACGCCGTTGGAGTTCGACATATTACGGATAAATTTAGCATGTTAACGTGGCCGATTGCAAGCAACAACAATACACGTCGACTATAAACGGGGAGCAACTGGTACTCGTTTCGGGTAACGACGTCGAGGAAAGCTACGATCTCGGTATATTGTCCGGATGCAAAACACGGGATTATACAAAAAAACTTTTTTTCTGCAGGACGAGCCTTGACCAGCGATCCATGGATAGAGACGGCCGTCTATGAAGGACGAGTTGTGCGGGTCGAACACGCGGAGGGAACGAGTATCTCAGTGAGACAATTAACTACTTCCTAAAATTCGCATCATCAAAACGATTTGTTATAGGTGCATATGACTTCGGAAACTCGCCCACACGTGTTAAGACATATCTCCCAAATGGAATCTTTCGAAGGAATGATCCAGGTCGACAGAGACAGCAATCGATACCTTAATATATCCTTCTTGGTAAGGCAGTAGAAAAAATTTTCGGCAGTATAGATCTCAGTTCAAAGATAATTTTCAGGGCACAAAGGGCACTTTGATTGGGAACATTTTTTCATCTGAGAAAAAGGACCAAATCGACATGGCGTTCTCAGTCCAAGGTGAGCTACTCGGTCGTGCCATGACTGCTAGGTTTGCCTCAAAATGCGAATTCCAGTGGAAGGATCAAAGGTTCGAGACTACAGATCGATAATATCGATCCCGTCTTCCATTAATAGCAGTCGATACATATGTTTTCATCCATCTGGTGATGGTGAGGGTGAAATATGTAAGTGGTTCAGGTACGTGTTGCATTTAAATGCTTGGAACAATTGAAATATAAACCTGAAGCATCGAAGAAAACTGAGTGGAATTAGTGATACTTCGACATCATTCGAGCGTTGTTACAAAGGAAGGTTGACGATTACGATTTTCCACTACTTGAAATGTTTTTCTGGTGAAATCTTTAGAAAATTCTACAGGTATGAGGCACAACGGCTTGCTAGCTACCGTGTCGCTCATCGTTGGCAGACCGGTCGAGGAGAGTGTGCCGGGTAAGTAGAACTACCCTTACCTATCAAAACACCATCGGATTACACTGAAGTTGCTACTCACTATCACGTCTTTCATTTATTCCTATTTCAATGTTTATAAAAGCCTATACTTTTCTGCGTTTTTGATTCTTGATGATTCCACGTTCCTCCTCGGCTTCTTCTTGAAGAATGGATATTGCGGATGATAAATATGCTGTCAGACTCCCACGAAGTAGACACGGCTGTCAGACAGAACCACGTTCCCATACTGAATCCCAGTGACACTAGGCTTTTGTCCGATTCGGCGCGCAGAGTGCAACCTACTTACTAATCCAACGCACACGTGCACTGATATTACAGCAGATACATGTGAAATCGGAGAAGAAAACACACGAAGTCAATCCTATGAATCAACATGCCTCTCACGATAAGTGCAAGGTGCTTTTGGTCAACATTCAGCTGCTTATCTGCTGCTTAACGACACCTTGCAAAGCTTCTCAAAATTTTTCGAAAATTTCATAGGTGTTAATATATTTTTTCATATGACCAGTTTCAACGTCTTCTGTTCGCGTTCGAGCACTTCTAGCATTTGATTTGTTTCCTCGCGCCCATCATTCACGAATGTCCTTGAACTTTTCACGTATGGGCTCGGTTGCTGCATGAGTATTGTATTCTTCTCTATGAGTGTCGCTGAATGCTGGTTGAGTCATTTATCCCTGGATTCTTGGGAAAACTCTTTAAAGCTTCCTACTTGGATTCCTGGCGCGGGTTCAAACCAGCACACTGCACCCTTGATAGACGGCACCACTACTAATGCGCTATCCGTCGTCCTTGGTGTTAATATAATAATAAACAATAAGCATTCTGCTTTATAGATATTAGATAACTTATTAGGTCTACAAAGCAGAAAGATTCTGTACGAACACAAGTGTCCAGAAATGAAGGTGTCTGCAATCCTGGAATTTATGTTATCACTTTTGTTAGTTATCGAAGTATATACAACTAGGGCAACAAGAATATATGAGAAAAACATGTAGGAAGAAAAAGCAAATGGCAACTCTCGCTCTCTCAGATGCAACGAGCGCGGTGTGGAAGGATTCCTTTCGGCAGTAGATCCTCGTCAATGGCTCAACGGAATCTCGTCACCAACGGAGGCGATCACCATGGCCGTGGAAGTGGCAATTATTGCGTGCTTGTCACTTATGTTCATCCTCGTCTGCACCAAGTGCTTTATCCCGCTCTTACGATGCTCGATCTCAGTTGCCAAACCACCCAAAAAATAGTGTCACTTGACCACTCAGGTTTTTCCTTTCTTGCCAGAACTCTCATATAATACCGGTAAACATGCAAGCAATGGTTACAATTTTTCATTGGCCTTTATTTGTGCTTTCGTTGTGCATTCTGCCTTGATTGTTATCTTTCAACTTCTATCAGGACATGACTTTTGCCAAATCCAAATGTGATACCATGTCTTCTGTGTGCTACGTACACTCTGTTCAATTGAACCGGTTGCTTTGTTTTCATTGTATACAGCACGAATATTTGCAATAAATGATATTACATCATTCATATACTCGAAAAATGACATCGGCGTTGGAAGAGTCATCTTCTCGGGAAGTATCAGGGACACATCGAAATTCAAAAGTCACCGATGCCAAACAGGTGATTTCCCAGTACATTCCTATCTGTGGAATAGAAGAGTTCATCGAAATATTTTGACCACATCTCCTGCGTAATCACCGACTTAGAAGCACCTTTTTGGTCCTAAAGTCACAATAAGTTATTGATTTTCAGATTTCCACAAATATAAATCGACTCACAGCGGAAAATTTCTTGAACGCCTCTCTGGATACTTGGCTGTTGAGTCCATAGACACTCATTCCGTCAACATACTCTTCAATGTCAATGACTCCATCACCTGAATCGAAAATGCCTCTTGCAATCAAATCTTTGTATTTTTTGAGCTTTGGTCTGCATTTATGACACCTTTTCTCTTTCATGTTCAATTTTCCTTATAGTAGAAGGTTTTCCCTTCACTACTGACAACAATTTTACGAGCAGTGTAAAAAGGATAGTAAGGAAAGAAAACATCAGGAAACTTTCGAGAAATAACCACTTTTTGTAACGTTTAGAAGGAGTTTCTTACCAATCTCTCAACACTAATAGACGCCTTGATTCTAGTGAATGATCTCTTTTACTGTGCCGTATTAAAAATTTTTGCAGTTGCTCTTTTGATTGATCCACAATTTCATAAATGAGCAAATAGTTAAAATAACATCTAACTTGATAGACGTGCTGATCTAAGGCGTTCCTATATTTGTTTCGCTCTCTTAGAGCGGCTATCCCATGGAACTAGTGGCGTTCGTATGTTGTTTCAGCTATGGACTGAGGATTTGCCATGCTCACTTAGTGCTGGTTGAGTGTGATTCCTCACAGAATCTCAAAATGGTCGTGCCAGGGCGATGGCAGGTCACTCTCCAATCTCTAAGCGCAGTGAACCGCGGGGGACTTTGCTGACAGGTGTCTAGAATATCTTTATGACAGTAACGATGCTAGAGAAAGCTCCACAAACTGATGTAATATGCCAAATTCCGTATCCAAGGTTAGTAGATGCTCATTACAGTAACTCCTATGGCCGACTGTCTTCGGCACTGATCGACAATTCTTTACATTCTTGTTTAGCAAACTCAAGGTGCAATTTTATTAAAACCGGGAGGATTTTGAATTAGGGAGTTACGATTCTCACACAGTAATCGAAAACACAAGTGGGCAAAACTCCCAAGGCATTCTGGATTAGTTCCAAGAATCCGAAAGTGAACCTCACGGATGAATGCCTCATAATCACGCGCGATATTGGGCAGTATTTAAACCTGTTATCCTGGTGGGATGGGCACATTACGCCTCCATGTGAACTCTGTGCGGTTGGTCTTCACGCGATATACTCAGTGGAAGACTCATAGAAAGCGGTGAGTGTGCGAAGAAGCCACTCTGTATTCAATGTGATTGAAATCTTGGTTTAGAATTTTCTCTGTTTGGTTATGGAGATGTTTGGCCGGGTAGATTGCGGTCAACTTGACCTTTCCAGGCTTTGAGGAAGGCGAAATTGGCCGAAACGTCAGCTTGTGCGCAAACAGAGGAACAAAGTAACACCCCGTATTTGCTTAACAAGAATATAAACAGTTTCTCTTTACTGTGTTTGAAACACGACCATTTCAATTACAGATGAATCGATGATTCTGGAAAGGTCGATGTCTTCCATGACACGACTTGGACACGTGAAACATTTGTCGATTTTACAAGCATTAGATAAATGCCTTAGTTATTCTAACGCAGTGAAAAGCGTTGGACGCACGTTTATAATTGATCAAGCGTTAAAATAATTCAGTGAAACCCGGATAATGCGACATTGGAGTTTTCGTTTGAGACACTTTTCACATGAGCTGCCGAACCTGTCATGCTTAAAAAGAAAGGTTACTGATAACGAGCATAGTAAAAGCTATGGCTTTTCTAAGATCGAAACGCTAGTTGGGCTTGAGTGAAAGAGTTTACATAGGTAAAGCATTAATGGACATTAGCATTTAAACATTTAAACAGCACTAAAGCTGTTTAATTGTCTTTTTAATTGGCATCAACTTTCGTTTTAAAGTGTGAAATGAGGGTACAGCTGCAATACAGAAAAAATTTATGTATTCTACTTTACTTTTAAAGATCTTTTTCTTTAAATCTCGTAACTCAGATTCGCAATGATTTAAAGAATCACGAGCATCGTGCTAGTTCGATTCCGCTACGGGCCAACCAAGCCTCTCATCTCTCCGGGGTCGGGAAATTGGTACCAGATTTGTCTGGTAAAAACACCGCTCTCTGCAATCCAATTGGGAACGCTCCAGCCCGGCTATCTCAGGACTCCAGGGAAAACTGCTGGACCAGCATTCTACGACATTCAAGATGAAATGAGAATCCTCAAGCAAGAACCGAAGCCACACGTAAAAGTTGGAAGACCTTCGTGGTAAATGGATGCGAGGAAACGAGCTGAATGTGAGAAGTGCTGGAATCCACACAGTAGACATGAAGATAGGTTATATAGAATAAAAAATGATTTAAAGAGGTTTAGTCCTGTTCTTAAGGAAAAGGCCCACCCTGCTGCTGTCTTCTCTGTTTCGCATATTGTGTATGAATAAGCTAAACAAGTTCTTCATATAAACTTATAGTCAATTGCTGTAAACACGTTACCTCATTCAGGAACCATATATGAACTAGCAATCGATCTCTGCTAACTTACAGCGGTCTTAGCACTTAGTTGGTGAGCTATTGGTTAAGTTACTCTTAAAAGACAATCCGCTCATTCCTACCAAAGTAATATGTGATGTAACGTAGAAAAATCACTTCACGCAAATACATGTTTGGTTTACGTCGTACTTGACCGATTCCTGTACTAGTACTAGCCATTGCACCCGTTCTAGAAGATCCCTAGTTGTGAGGTAGGAAGCATTCGTCTTATCCATAGAGGCCAGCGACTGTTTTTGGTGACAACTTATGAACGTTTCAGTACGGTAGCTCAACTATTCAACGAAAAACCACAATGTACCAACGTCCACCAATTGAATACGACCAGGGAGATGTCAGATACTCGCTTTGCAATCATAACAACATATCAACCTAACATGTAACGGTTGAGAGGCAACTGTATGAAAGGATCTGGAGAGTCATACGAGGACAGATCAACTAAGGATCTAAAGAGGTAAATGAAATAATGCACGAATGAGCAGCGCACTTCAGAAATCTTAGAATACCACAGAAAACGTTGTGCTTTGAAGCGCACTGGTGTATAAACAAAGACTATAATGCATCTGAATAAGTGTTTAACTCATGGTCTTTCATAATTTTTTTTAAATATCGTGACTTCTTTTGGCGAAATAAACTGAGATCGGCCTGAAGGACTCACAAGACACATCAAAGAGTTGAAACATGAAGCGCTTGTAATCATTGAACCACTCTTTCTCATTCTTTAGATCTGCATTTTTCAGCAAATTAACCCATTCGTCTATCGAAATCAGTTGGTCCTAAACACGAAAACCGTTCTGCAAGGATTTAAGAACATCTGACAATGTATAATACATCCGACCGACAACGACCAGAGTCGATTTGTCTACGGTGACGGTTCACACCACCTCATTTACATCCGCCAGACTGCACAGCCCCTCCCAAAGAGCCGCCAAAGTCTTCTGAGCAAATCTGATCTGCTCCGATTCAGCTCCATATACTTCTTTGACTTTCTGAACAATGGTTAGACGTACGAAATAATCTATTGAAAAGCAAGAAGATTTGGAAACTTTTTAAGCAATTTTTTTACCTAGCAACTTTGATTACAGCAGAACAATGTTTTTATCACTGAATGGATGAAGAACAGCAGAATAACTTACCCGAACCACCAAGTAAAAGTCTCCCCAATCCACTTGTTGAGACGAATTGCGATCTGACATAAACGAGAGTGAATTAAGCCTTTTTCTTTTCCGCTGGGAAAAAAAAGTGCTACCGAAGAACACGGAGAAGATTCTCTCCCACTTGCGCAGCAGAAACGCATCGACGTTGTTATATTTCGCTAGTAAGTCATCTTTAGAAGAATTCGTAGCGGCCGGAAATCAAGGCAAACACGTTAAGCGGCAAAAGAAAGGTTTTAGTAAATTTAGTGATTTTCACAGAAAGAAGAGCTTTATTGGACAAAATTCTTTCAACCAATGTTACTAGTAGAAATGGATTTGCTGGTATAACTCACGTCCATCTCAGCCTGGGAGTGAAGACGCTAGTGAGGCATCCACTCTCGAGCACTTCCCGCCCCGTGACTGCAAATTAAACGCTGACGGCTGCGAACCCATCACATGCGGGCGCCTTCGGCGTCGGAAAACATACGACTCGAGCTCTAGTCAAGTCGGACATAAAATGTCCTCTGGAATGAGATTCGATGGAGATGTAGTGCTTGTCGAGTATCGAGAGCCCAACTCTTCGAATCTGCATGCCCTAGATGCCATGAACAGGAGATCCCGTGGATAAACTCGCCGTCATGTCGACGAACATTCACGTTCTAAGAAGAAGGTCATCATATTTGTTTATAACATAACGAAAACATAATGGGTGTTTTTCTAGCCTTTGTAAGTTAAGGCGCTCGATGAACATCATTAGAAAGCGGGGATGTCACTGTTACATTTAAAACGAGGATTTGCCGCTAATTCCGCTCGTATTTACAAAGCAGTGAGCTGCAACACCCAGAGTGTTTTCAGTAAAGTAATTGTTCTCGGCACTTTCCAGCTTGGTACTAAACGAGTAAAGAAATATGAGATACGAAGGAAATAGTTATTGATTTAGTAGGACTGCTTCTATCTTAACTCTTTTATTTACTGCCTTTTTCTTCTTAATGGCATGTTATGTTGCGAAATATAACTCGTATGAAATGCTGAGATATTTGCAAAACTCCGGACCACAGGTGTATGCAATGGAGAACGAACACGCGCTGTTGTCCTTACCGGGGAGCAGCGCACTTCACCACTACACCATCCGGGTCCTTCGTTTTGTCTGTCTCTCAGCTAGTTCTATCGATCTTTTTTTTGCCATCAGCAATCACCCGCCAACGGGGTTGATCTGGGAAGCCAATATCGGCATTGAACCCAGTTAAGCAGACTCTTCTTTGACTTTTGGAATGTATCCGAAATCATCTAAGAGCCTTTCATCTTGGTGCTTTTGATTTACGCGTTAGGATACGGACAGTCACTTCAAAATCAAAATTTATGTAGCTGAAACGCAATGAACATAAACCTAAACATCCTTAACACTGAGTTCACTCAGGAGTTTTAAAAAGTAATTTCGTTTTTTTTCTTTTGCTAGTTTTTTCTTCGGAAATCGGATTGTCTAAAAAGCTTTTATTAGGCAGCCACAGGTTTTTTGGACAAGTGGCACACTTGCATTTAGCAATAGCTTCCCACTAGATAATATAGAAGTGATCTTATTAGTTGTCAAGTTAGTTCGAGAAGATACCATATAGCCAGCCCCAATCAAGTTACTTCTCATGACGTCACACTTAAAAGAAGCTGGGATATCAATTAATAAAACACTGTCACGGCATGCAATCTTTCTTTGATATGTTTACGCGAGGTTGATAAATAATTTTAAAAAAATACTTGTATTTAATTATATATTATAAATGTTACAGTTGCACTAATACATATTAAATATTAAAACCACATTGTACTGTATATACTAATATTACACTACTATTATATTATATTATTCCTCCCACCGGTTTACAACCTCATCGTGTCTGGGAGGTGTTTCTAGGTGTCGGGCTGCGATGTATAGTGGGGGATTCACCCCCACAGCAGTGTCCCCCAAGTTAAGAGGGAGTCCGGCGTTTCCATCAGGGAGCCCAGCTAAGAGTAAGAGTGCAGATTTTCATCTTTCAGTTTGTGCTGTTGAAGCGTTCGACCCATTGAGTTGCGTATTAGTGTACCCTTCCAGGCTCTGAGGAAGGCGATTCTGCCGAGACGTCAGCTACGATTGTGTTGTATGTGTATTGTTGTATGGAAATAAACGTGTGCTGTTTAACCACCTTAATATAGTGTATAATATAATATGTAATATAATATTAACACAATGTAATATAATACTTGCTTGGTCACTTGAACGGCCTGTCCTCACTGGTTGTGCGCACTCCATTTTTTCGGAATTTTGTTGGTTTAGCCATTGTGTTTCTCTGGAGCCCCGAGGTCAGCCAGGCCAAAGTCTGCCTCAGATCATCACCACCACAGGCAGTCGCAGCCCTTGTGGATCAGGGGAGATTTGCCACCATAGGACTAATTTGGTACAAGGACGGTGGTGGATCCTGACATTGGTTTACTCTTAGTTGGGCTTCCTAATGGAAACGCGGGACTCCCCCTTAGCTTGAGGGAACCTGCTGTGGGGATGAATCCTTACTATACACCGCAGCCCGACACAGGAAAAAAGAAGGGAAAAAGCTGCTAATATTTTCGTTATCGTAACAATAAATAATAATAACATTACTACTATAATAACAATGTTTTTTGCCTTTATTTGATCCATCTTCACGTCTACTGAGCGGTTCCCAGCACTTTCACATCCAATTCGTTTCCTCTGATCTAGCACAACGCAACAACAATAGTGATATTAATAGTAACCACTATTTTAACTCTTTTATTTACTGCCTTTTCTTCTTAATGGCAGGGTATGTTGTGAAATATAACTCGTATGAAGTGCTGAGATATTTGCAAAACTCCGAAGCACAGGTGTGTGCAGTGGGGAACGAACACACGCTGTTGTCCTTACCGGGGAGCAGCGCACTTCACCACTACACCATCCGGGTCTGGTGGTCCGGTTCGGAGTTTTGCAAATATCTCAGCACTTCGTACGAGTAACCACTATTATTATTAAAGTGCTTGGCTCAGTGGTTAGAGGCTCTCTGTAGTACACGTGGTGTCGATCTCGATCCCAAGGGTCACTAAGCCCTCCATAACTCCGGAGTCAGCAAATTGGTACCAGACTGTCTGCGAGGAAAGCGGCACTGACTCGATATATCGGTAGCTCAGTCACCTATAGCGATGATTAATGAAACCGAGTGCATGGTGCATCCCTCAGGGATTGATCAACGCCGAGAGCGTTATCCTCTACCTTTGATTATTATTAATAGTATTATTATTATTGCTATTATTATTACTATTATTAATATTATTGCCACTATTATTATTATTATTATTAATACTGTTTCCATTACGTTGCTGAGATATTTGCAAAACTCTGGACCGCAAGTGTCTATGGTGGGGAACGAACGCGTTATTATCCTTTCCGGGGAGTAACGCGTTCACCACCACACCATGCGGGTCCTTTGTTTCGCACGTCTCTCAGCTATTTCTATCGATCTTTTTGCCACAGCAATCACCCGTCAGTGGGGTTGATCTGGGGAGCGCAAATCGGCATAGAACCCAGTTAAGCTATGGCTGTAGTTGAAATCACAATGTTTAACGTTTTGTTTTCTGCCTTGTATAATTTTCATGGCAGGTTACTAAGCGAAATACAACCACAACGTTNTGCGGTCCAGAGTTTTGCAAATATCTCAGCAACGTTGTGGTTGTATTTCGCTTAGTAACCTGCCATGAAAATTATAGAAGGCAGAAAACAAAACGTTAAACACTGTTTCCATTGTTTTCGAAGCTATTCACTGGTGTTCCAAAATAGTCTTTTATAAAAGAAATTCTTTACATGAGCGTGCCTGGCTATGGAGCAACTTTTTAGCCATTTTTCAGAGGTCAATAAAATGAAGTCGATGGTCGATACTTGAGTACATTCTGACTATTTATCACTTTCGGTTCACTTTCAATAGTTCAAGCCTTCTCCTCCCCGGATTGTGTTCTTCTTCCTGTGGTTCTTCACTTATGAAATACCATGCTGGATTTCGAAAAGGAGAACAGATGGGGCGACGTATCCATCTTCCTTTGCTTCATATGAAGACTTAAGAACGTAGATACTGCAGAGACCCGTTAGTAATCGTGAATAAATTTCTTAATGGCCTTTCTGGAAACTGTGTCTATTTCTTTTGTGCCTCGGAGTGCAGTCATCTTGGCGTTGTACTTGGCGAAGCTTCGGCGGGATTTGCGAATACTTTTCCCAGCCTCGACCACAGCTGCTGTTCTTCTCTCTTTAACACCTTCTTTTATCGCCTGTCTGCTTTGTTTTGCAGGCATGGACGTGAGTTGGCGGTTCCATGTAGCTCTTGCTATTCCAAGTTGACGTATCAGCATTAATATTTCTGGAGGCAGACGACGGTTGGCGACTCCCGTACTCTAAATTTTCAAAAAGTTAGTGTAATAACGAATTGAAGAAATCCGAGGTTATTGTGGTTTTGGAACTTCGTATTTTGAACTTAGCGGCTATTTCTTTGTTCCGCGAAAAATGAAATTTTGCAAGAAGGCGATGGAATGGTTCGGTGTAGAAATTTAGAGCAACAATAACACTACAGTGTGGTCTATTTCGTTGTGCTACTCTCCATTAGGAGACTCACCTGTCCAGTGTTGATTGTGGACCTCTTGGAATTGCGAGTTACTATGGATGGTCTTGGTCGTCATGATAAACTCAGAGAGCTGCTTAGCTGCTTACCCTGTTCGTTCCATTCTAATCCGTAGGTCCCAACGTGATGTTCTTCAGACGTTCTTCTTGGTCCAATCTTGGCGTTAAAATCTTTAACGGTGAAATTGAAGAGTGTATGATCTTTTCTGTAGAATTTCTCCAAGTCCAAGTCTTCGACATAGCTTGATGTCGGTGCGTAAACGACAAAAATTGTCAATACCGCTATTGATCCACACCTCTTCAATCGTAAAAATCCGATTCGGGTTTTCAGACTTTCTTCTTGGTTCAATCTTGGCGCTGAAATCTCCAATGATGACCTTGAAGAATGTATGGTCTTCTCTGCAGAACTTCTTCAAGTCCATATGGAATGCTTCGACTTCTTCTTCGCCATAGTTTGATGTTAGCGCGTTAGCGACGAAGGTTGTCAAAGCCGGAGTTGATCCACGTCTTTTTAATCGTAAACGTCCGATTCGGGTTGTAAGTTGTTCGAATAAATCGATGTTCATGGCCAAGTTCGTGTTGGCGAGAACGCCGACGCCGCCGACTCTACTTTTGTATGTTTCGAGGAACAATCAGTGTCATAGGCGACGTTGAATTAGCGGCGTTTTGTCGTCTCGACTAGTCCGATGACGTCGTACCTTTCATTTCTTGCCTGCGCTATAAGGTCCTACATCGAGGATTCAGAGGCAAGTCAGTGTGCATTGTACGCACCGTAATCCTTAGAGATTTAGGTAGTCTAGAATGGTTTTGAGATTTCAGCAGCCTTTCTGTACTCGTTATACCCAACGCTGCAGTATAGGAGACTCATT